AAACGTCATATTATAGTAAAGCATAAAATCACTCTGATATAGTAAGTCATGAAAAGTTATAAAAACATCATAATATAGTAAAACATAAAAAGTAAAAAAAGCAACATAGCATAATAAGGCATAAAAAGTCATAAAAACGTCATAGTATAGTAAGGCATAAAACGTCATAGTATAGTATGGCATAAAAAGTCATAAAAATGTCATAGTATAGTAAGCCATAAAAAGTCATAAAAACAACATGGCATAAAAAGTCATAAAAATGTCATTACAGTAAGGCATAAAAAGTCATAGTATAGCAAGGCATAAAAATTCATAAAAACGTCATAGTATAGTATGGCATAAAAAGTCATAAAAACATTATAGTGTAGTAAGGCATAAAAAGTCATAAAAACATTATAGTGTAGTAAGGCATAAAAAGTCATAGTATACTAAGGCATAAAAAGTCATAGTATACTAAGGCATAAAAAGTCATAGTATACTAAGGCATAAAAAGTCATAGTATACTAAGGCATAAAAAGTCATAGTATACTAAGGCATAAAAAGTCATAGTATACTAAGGCATAAAAAGTCATAGTATACTAAGGCATAAAAAGTCATAGTATACTAAGGCATAAAAAGTCATAGTATACTAAGGCATAAAAAGTCATAGTATACTAAGGCATAAAAAGTCATAGTATACTAAGGCATAAAAAGTCATAGTATACTAAGGCATAAAAAGTCATAGTATACTAAGGCATAAAAAGTCATAGTATACTAAGGCATAAAAAGTCATAGTATACTAAGGCATAAAAAGTCATAGTATACTAAGGCATAAAAAGTCATAGTATACTAAGGCATAAAAAGTCATAGTATACTAAGGCATAAAAAGTCATAGTATACTAAGGCATAAAAAGTCATAGTATACTAAGGCATAAAAAGTCATAGTATACTAAGGCATAAAAAGTCATAGTATACTAAGGCATAAAAAGTCATAGTATACTAAGGCATAAAAAGTCATAGTATACTAAGGCATAAAAAGTCATAGTATACTAAGGCATAAAAAGTCATAGTATACTAAGGCATAAAAAGTCATAGTATACTAAGGCATAAAAAGTCATAGTATACTAAGGCATAAAAAGTCCTAAAAACAGCACAGTACAGTAAGGCTTAAAAAGTCATGAAAACGTCATCGTATAGTAAGGCATGAAAAGTCATAAAAACGTCACAGTATAGTAAGGCATAAAAAGTCATAAAAACGACATGGCATAAAAAGTCATAAAAACGTTATAGTGTAGTAAGGCATAAAAAGTCCTAAAAACAGCACAGTACAGTAAGGCTTAAAAAGTCATAAAAACGTCATAGTATAGTAAGGCATAAAACGTCATAGTATAGTAAGGCATAAAACGTCATAGTATAGTAAGGCATAAAACGTCATAGTATAGTAAGGCATAAAACGTCATAGTATAGTAAGGCATAAAACGTCATAGTATAGTAAGGCATAAAACGTCATAGTATAGTAAGGCATAAAACGTCATAGTATAGTAAGGCATAAAACGTCATAGTATAGTAAGGCATAAAACGTCATAGTATAGTAAGGCATAAAACGTCATAGTATAGTAAGGCATAAAACGTCATAGTATAGTAAGGCATAAAACGTCATAGTATAGTAAGGCATAAAACGTCATAGTATAGTAAGGCATAAAACGTCATAGTATAGTAAGGCATAAAACGTCATAGTATAGTAAGGCATAAAACGTCATAGTATAGTAAGGCATAAAACGTCATAGTATAGTAAGGCATAAAACGTCATAGTATAGTAAGGCATAAAACGTCATAGTATAGTAAGGCATAAAACGTCATAGTATAGTAAGGCATAAAACGTCATAGTATAGTAAGGCATAAAACGTCATAGTATAGTAAGGCATAAAACGTCATAGTATAGTAAGGCATAAAACGTCATAGTATAGTAAGACATAAAAAGTCATTAAAACGTCATATTACAGTAAGGCATAAAAAGTCATAAAAACGTCATATTATAGTAAGGCATAAAAAATTCATAGTATAGTAACGCATTAAAAGTCCAAAAAACGACAAAGTATAATAAGGCATGAAAAATCATAAAAACAACATAGTATAGTAAGGGAAAAAAAAGTCAAAAAACAACATTGTATAATAAGGTATGACAACAATACAGTCTAGTAAGGCATGAAAATGGCATAGTATAGTGAGGCATAAAAAGTTAAAAAAAAACAACATAGTACAAGGTCCCAGATTGGGTTTGAACCAAAGACCTTTCCATCATTAGGTGACAGCACTATCCACTAAACCACAGAGTAAGCTAAGGCATAAAGACTTCATAGTATAGTGAGGCACAAAAACTAAAAAAAAACACATAATATAGAAAGGCATAAAAAAATCATGAAAATGACATAGTATAGTAAGGCATAAAAATGTCATAGTATAGTGAGGCATAAAAAAGTAAAAAAAAGACAATGTAGTATAATAAGGCATAAAAAATCATAAAAACAACATAGTATAGTAAGGCAGAAAAAGTCAAAAAACGAAATAGTATAGTAAGGCATAAAAACGGCATTGTATAGTAAGGCATAAAAATTTTATAGCATAGTGAGGCATAAAAAGTCAAAAAAACAATATAGTATAAAAAGGCATAAAAAATCATACAAACAACATAATATAGTAAGGCAGAAAAACGTCATAGTATAGTAAGGCATAAAAACGACATAGTATAATAAGGCATAAAAAGTCATAAAAACCACATGGTAAAAGGTCCCAGATTGGGCTTGAACCTTTAACCTTTTCATCATTAAGTGACAGCACTATCCACTACACCACAGAGTAAGCTAAGGAACAAATACATCATAGTATAGTAAGGCATAAAAAGTAAAAAAAAACGACATAGTATTATAAGGCATAAAAGATCATAAAAACAACATAGTATAGTAAGGGATAAAAAGTCATAAAAATGTCATAGTATAGTAAGGCATAAAAAGTCATAAAAATGTCATATTATAGTGAGGTATAAAAAGTTATCGTATAATAAGGCATAAAAATGGCATCGAATAGTAAGACATAAAAAGTCAAAAAAACAACATAGTATAGTAAGGCATAAAAATGGCATAGCATAGTGAGGCATAAAAAGTAAAAAAACAGTTATAAGCAAAAGTTATAAACAATCACAAAAACAACATAGTATAGTAAGGCATAAAAACGACATACTACAAGGTCTTGAACCTTCAACCTTTTAATCTTTAGGTGACAGCACTATCCACTACACCACAGAGTAAGCTAAGGTGTAAAAACATCATAGTATAGTAAGGCATAAAAAAATCATAAAAACAACATAGTATAGTAAGGCATAAAAAGTTATAAAACGACATAGTATAGTAAGACACAAAAGCGACATAGTATAGTAATGGATAAAAAGTCATAAAAGTTACATAGTATAGTAAGGTTTAAAAATGACATACTATCACAAGGCATAAAAATCCAAAAAAACAACATAGTATAATAATTCAAAAAAAATCATAAAAACGACATAGCATTGTAAGGCATAAAATCACCATAATATATCAAGGCATAAGAAGTTACAAAAACGTAATAGTATAGTAAGGCATAAAAATGTCATAGTATAGTATGGGATAAAAAGTCATAAAACAATACAGTATAATAAGGCATAAATAGTCATAAAAACAACATAGTATAGTAAGGCATGAAAATGTCAAAAAACGTCATTGTACTTTAAGGCATAAAATGTCTAAAATAGACATAGTATAGTAAGGCGTAAAAATGTCAAAAAATGACAAGCCACAAGGTCCCAGATTGGGCTTGAACCTTTTCATCATTAGGTGACAGCACTATTCACTACACCACAGAGTAAGCTAAGTCATAAAAACGACATAGTATAGTAAGGCATAAAAAGTTATAAAAACGTCATAGTATAGTAAGGCATCAAAAATCATAAAAACGACATAGTATAGTATGGCATAAAAACGACATAGTATAGTAAGGCATAAAAAGTCATTAAAAACAACATAGCATAGTAAGGCATGAAAATGTCAAAAAATTACAAGCCACAAGTTCCCAGATTGGGCTTGAACCGCAGCACTGTCCATTACACCACAGCGTAAGCTAAGGTATAAAAACGACATAGTATAGTAAGGCATAAAAAGTAATAAAAATTCCATTGTATAGTAAGGCATAAAAATGTCATAGTATAGAAAGGCATAAAAAGTAACAGTGTAGTAAGACATAAAAACGTTGTAGTATATTAAAGCATAAAAAAAAGTCATAGTGTCCATGTTGACATTTTCATGAGATTTTTTTTTACAGATATTAAAATTATACTTTGATATATCCACCATTTTATGTTTACTCCTGCGACCAACTAAACTGCCAGTCTACAGAAGACAGAAGCCAGGGTTATCTTGTTAGTTAACGCTAATTTACATGGTTCAATAGCATCGTCATCTTGGTGACGTTAGATACCACTGTGTTATTCTCACCTGATTTGAGCCTTCAGATAGCTCCCGTCCTTTTAGTCAATCAAATGATAGCATGCTTAAATTGTTTTTTTGGAGACGTAGGCTCTTTAAGGGCACATTGGAAAGATCTAATATGACTTCACTCCAAGCATAGCGCAAACAAGTTCACGCAAATATTGGTAGCGACAATTCTGTCCTCCCAAATTATTGGTAGGGACATGTCCCCACCATCCATATGCAAACCTACGCCTTTGATTTCAAGTTGTTAATATTATCTTTATCCTGGTTTCCTACATTTTTAGTATTAATGTATGTAGTAGAGTCCATAAGTCTAATACCAGTTTCCCATTCAAGTGACTGTTTCACGTTATAATTATCTGAAGATCCTGGAAATACTGCTTTTCACCTTCTGCATCAGTGTTATGTTTTGAGTGTATATTTGCTACTTACTGTGTCTGGCTAATTTATTTTGGGCTTCTTCTCAGTTTCTGATGCTACCTCTCTGTTTCTTGTGTCCAGGAGCGGTGGTCATAGCCTTTGTGGTCTGCTGGCTGCCCTATCACACTCGCCGCCTCATGTTTTGCTACATCTCTGACTGGTCCGAGTGAGTAATGATTCTTCTCAGCCTCTCATGTGAACCTCTAATGGGAACCTTCTAGAGTTTGTTAGCTCACTGGATCTCTGCAGAGATCTGTACACCAATGCTGTATATATACACAAATATAGACCTTCACATGCATGATCATTTACATGCACAAATGCACAAACCCTAGTACGCACACACACAAATATTGGCTAAAGCCATCATTTAGTGGGTCATCAGTTAAGAGTGCCTGACAAACAGGAGCAGGCCAGATACATCTTCTTGATTAGATTGCCTTCATTTAACATTCTCATCCTCTCTCCCCCCTCTCTTTTTTCTCTCTGTCTTTATTAACAATCAACCCTTCTAAACTATATATTGTTTCCCTTATTAGATCAAACACACACCATTTCAGTAAATGAATGTAAGTACTTGGAAAACCTCTCTCTATATGAGACCATTTAAATGCAGGAACAGACATCCATACATCAACAGTAAACACATGGGTAACTGTAAACATACTGCCTGTTCAGTCAATTAGAAAGACAAGGAGTTGGTTCAAACATAAATATAGCTCATTTCTTTTCCCCTGATCCATCACTGATTGCAAGTTCGAAGCAGTTATTCATTATGATGAATCAAATTAATGTATTTTTCATGTCATAATTCTTATTTTGAAATCTAAATACATTTTAATCATATCATTGATATTCTGACTTGTACTTCTTTGATCAAAATCACAAAAATACAAAAAAAGACTTCAAACTGGTATCAAATCAGACTTGATACCAGTTTGTCCCAAAAAGCATTTTCCCCATTGATCACCATGTATATACTGTCTATACACATATATAAAAAAGTAAGTAAAAGTAAATTATCACTCTTTATAGTATGTATTTTAAACCATTGAGGTTTTATATTTGTTCAACTATTCCAATTTTATGTGTGGGACATCATCACAATGCAACATCTATAGGTCCAGTGGTAAAATGTGGGAGGGGCCAGCAGGAGAGCATTTATGCACATGTGCAGTAGGCCACAAAACGCAGAACCAAACCAAGAAGCAGGAGCACTTTTCATCAGTTTTTAGTCGAGTAATAGGGTCCAACTTTGGAGGTTGGTATGTCAGTTAGCTGGTTTCCATATAAGTAATTTATCATTTTCTGAAAAAATATGCAGAATACTGTTACTATATCATTGTAGTTTATATTTAATTGAGTAGAATTCAAATATAAGGTTGGCTTAAACTTGTGCTTGAGGCAGACGAGAGTGCTAATCAGAGAAAAATTAGCAAAATGTAATAAGTAAAATGATGAAAGCTGCTTGTTATTTTGGACTTTAGACATGCATGAATGAACAGAAGAGACAGAGAGGCTGTAATCATTTTTTGTAATCACTAAGCGCATGTGTCTCAGATATCATCATGTTTCTAGTGTTTCCACTGTTCCTCTGCATCGCTACCTGAGGAGGCGTTTGAAACATATTGCTTATCTGCCAAAAGTGTAGATTAAAGCTTCTCTTAAGCTATTTGTGCACAGCCTGCAGTTTTTATATTTTTGCAAGGATGGAGTTGTAATTTCTTTTTCTTTGAATTGAGCTGTGAGACACTTTGAAAGCCATTTTTCTCACATCTTTTGAACTTCAGTCTTTGATTTACCTGAGAGGCAAAAAATCTAATATTACTCAAATTAGCTACAATTAGGTGTATTACTTATTCATAAGAATTCTTTGTATCACATCACTAAGCAACTGGTAGCCACCCAACAATGGTTGTGAAAGTGTTAGCAGCCATTTGTCTTTAAAAAAGGTGGATTATGCTAATCCTGCACTGGCGCGTTGGTGTGTTTTCTGCATCATGAGAGAAAAGCACCGTTATTATTCTCTCAGTGGGTTTTTTGTTACAGGCAGCCAAGAAACCACAGGGTACAGCATCAGCAGACAGACAGCATGAGTCAACTCTCCTGCAATGATAAGGGACAGTCTTCTTCACTTTTTGTAAGAGGTTCTCAGGTTGTCTTCTGCATGGTAAAAGGCGGCAATAAAATAAGGTCATTCAGTCAAAGTCAGCTGGAAAGGATATGCAGAAAATTTGATTTTTTTGATCTTGTCTTCTCACCTGTTGAGATTTCCTCAGCTATCAGTTTTGTTAGACACTAGTGCTTAGACACCAGACAGACAGAGACAGTGAAGGAGTACAACCAAATATCAATATATTTATATAAAAAAAACAAAATTAATGTTTAATACTGTTTTTAAAAACTTCCCATCCCTCATAATCACTGCAAAATCAAAGCATATAAATATTTTAGTAATAATTGAATTCAGATTGCTTTAACTCCCTTAACAGAGCTATTTGTAAGTTTTGCCATTGCTACATAGGCAACGTTAGCAGTAATAGCTGTTTACCTACCAGCCCGGAAGAAATGTTGAGAGTTCAGCATCAAACTTCATTCCTTTACTCACCAAGAGCTTTCTATCACTTCTTATCCTCTACTGAAGTTAGCATGCTAACCAGCTAGCAACAGTCAGACTGTCTTGTCACTTACCGATACTGAGTCACTGTAGTGTCCTGTCTGCTCTGGAGAAGTAGCGCTACTCAGAGGGTGTATTATAACCTCCTGCATTATAAACACAACAATGGGTGAAGTTCTTGCCAAGACTCGTAATTAAACAGCTGTTAATAGTAATCTTTTATATATATATATATATATATATATATGTGTGTGTGTTTTGATGTTGATGGGAAGGACAGCTAAAATGTCCCCAAACTCAGCATGGTAACTGACTGAATTGACTAATCACCTCAATCCCTACTGGACACAAACCCGTCCTGCATTGTGATGGCGACTGCTCCCTGACAATAAATATGAAACAAAAATCGAGTGTTGGTATGTGAGACAATAACAGAAATGGGTCTCTGTGGTGAAATGTCCAAATCACAGAAAATAACACAGGAGCCTCAGGACATGTTGCCTGGATTTTCCTGATTTCATGCCAAAAAGGACCCAGCGCAGATGGCTGTGAATTGGGATTGGGAGGTATCAGTGAGTGTTGTAGGGCCTGGTAGCAGTCACAACCACTGAAATATTTTTGCTTTTATTTCTGAGTAACAGCAGTCTTCCTTGATAAATTGGTCCAGAGTGAATCTGCCAAAAGAGGAAACTGACTGATGTGCATGAAGCACAGAATCACCACATTTGAAAACTCTGCCCCTGTATCCCAGAGTTTGCCCAACGCCATGTGTAATTATAATGAAAAATGTCTGCTGCTTGAGGGATTTTTACAAAAGACAAAATTCTACCTGAGCAAAGATTCAAACACAGCTCATTGTTCATGTGTCATCCTCCATTACATTAACAAAGCCCCACAGAATTGCAGAGTAGAGTATATATAAAGAAAAGGTCATGTTCAATACTATCCCTGTTGTCCCTTTCAATCCTACCCTCAGTCATCTTTAATGGTGTCCCTGTATGCAGACAGACACACACATCATTGACTTTCTGCACACTTCAGTGACCCTTGTCCATTGCAAGAAGAGAACAGATCAATACAGCTGATTCTAGTTACTGACATGACGCTCAGGAGTATCTATACTATGTGTTAGGGCATATTGATATGTTATGACTTATAACCTTTTGCTTTACCTTTGTTGTCGGCTGTTTGCATGCGTCGTTGTCTTATCTCATCCCCTTTCTCTGTCATATACCCTCTATTTAGTATCCATTCATAACTGGTTTGACTGTGCAAAGAAAGAAATACGATACTGTATGTTCTCATGAGAGACATTTTGGTGGTTAAATTATCCATAAAGAGATGATAACATCACCACCAAGAGCACACATATAGTCTATGTTCCCTGGAAAATCCTTGGACATCATTTGCTCTGGTGCTACAACAGTACACTTCCCAGACAGCAAAGGAAATCCAGCCCATACTTTGGCCATGCTTGTTTTCTTCTAGTCCTGTATACGCCTGGTTCCCCGGCCCGAATCTGGCCCATATATAGCATGTATATGTACCACATCTGGACCAATTCTGGTGCACATACAAAATATCTTCTGGCTATCAGTCAATACCAGAGGATAACAGCTGGATTCTGTATGGGCCAGACTCTGACTTAGGACCAAGGCATACGTTAGGACAGAAGTTTAATTTTGCAAGCTGTGTTAGAGTTGCACAGATCTTCAGTATCAATATACACTGTATTTGCTCAAACTTGGAAAAGGAATATATTTTTTATATTTCTTTTTGTCGGTGATAGAGCCCCGTATTTGTGCTCTCCAGGAGTGTAGATATTTGGTTCTGACTGATGACATCTGAACAAGGCTTGGGCTTGGCCCAAATATCGTGATGTATGATATAATCTCAGGGAGGGGAGTTATAATAATATTGTTGTATATTCAAAGTGTTATTTGTAACAATGCACAGTAAGCAAAGCAGTGAAATGCAAGGTGAAAAATCATTACATCATTAAGCACTACCTCTGTCAGTCTGTGAGTCCATATGTTGCTGAGGTTACTGTTCTACTCTGTTGCAGTGAGTTTTGGCAGTCTGGTCAATTTCCACCTCTAATACTAGACCCTTCACACAGTGACAGGTAACACTAGACTCCCTTCTCTCTGTAATGGAGGACGACCGCAGCACTGTGTGCAGGAGCTGCAATAATCAAGTCCCAAAAAATCTGCCCAAAGAGAAAGAGTGACCAAAAGAGCATGCATGTGGAGTTTTGCTCGCTTGCTCTTTCTCAGATACCATGAGACAGTAGGGTGACAAATACATTATATATTTATGTTAAAACTAAAAAAAATTCCATCATCCTCTCAGAGGCTTGAGGTTGTGATATTGTTTCCAGAAATATGTCCAAAAACATTTCTAAAAAAAAATGGAAAAATATCCACACCAGTTGCCAAACATGAGGATTCATTCTGCCTTTAAGCATGTACATGCTTGAAGCTTTTTCCCAACTTAGTACCCCCATGGCACTGAAATGCTTGCTCTCTTATACATTGGAATATGTAGTCTTTTTTCTGCTCCTCATCTTCCACTTGTTTCCTTCCTTACTCTCTCGGTTCCCCTCCAATCTCGTGTCCCATTATATGTAATCTGTACATCCTTAATGTCCCTCTCTCCTCCTGCTGTGTAGCTTAATCTCCTTCTTCCTCCGTCTCTGCAGCAGCAGTCAGAGAGACAGATCAGTCAGTTAAATTCATAGGTTCATACCTCACTTATGTATTTTAAAGTATACAATAATATTTTTTTTAAATTGGATAGGCTATAATAAAGAAATAAAAGGATTTCATGTTTTTATAGTTAGATTGCAAATAGAATGAATATGCTCCTTTTTCAGAGGGTTTCACTTGCAGTGGTGCGGTTTATGGTTGCCCATGCAAAGAAAAATCTGTATCCTTTTCAGACAGCTGCAGATTAGATCTGCACTTAAAGGACTTCAAAAGCTTATCTCACTCTTCATGTGTCTATAAATTCCAGCATTGAAAATGTTTCTTCCTATTTCTTCTTCCCGTCCTCTTACTGTAGCTTTGACAGCATTAATAAAGGCCGAGGCTGGCAGAGGGCCTACGGCATTAACTTGGAGACACTTCTTCAGTAGTTGATCTGTTGATGGCGTTGGAAGCATCTCTGGTAGTGGACCAATGAGGCCTCAAATGAGCAGTGACATCTAAAGAGAAGATTATTGGGTTAGTGTAATACATGCTCACCAGCCATTAGTAAGCACCAGGCATCACTCAGTCTGGTTGGCTGAATAAATCTTCTTACCCTGTCAATTCTCAGCACAAAAACTCTAAAGTATCTGCCCAGTGGAATAAATTAAGATACGATTTCCACTCCCATTATACGGTACATTCTTTATAGTTAAACGAGGAGAGAGCTGCCCTTAGCCTTTCTGTGACCCTTGGTGAGATTTTTACTTTAAGACGTCCCCATCTACATCTTAACCAACTTTGTGTGCCCCGATTGCATCAGCTCAAGTTGGAAGTGTTTTAATCATTTTTGGGTCAGGCTGTGTGCATGCATAGTACAACTTTACTGCCAGAGACTTGAAAGTACCGCTACAATCACGATATAAAATTGAAATGAAGGTCACTGAATAATTCTTCAAAACCGGATTCAATAAAATCTGGATGGTCACAGGGTCAGTAATTTATTAAATTGAAACAAAAACTACTCTACTGTTTTCAATATCTGTATCTGTCTATAGTTTTGGTCACAACAGAAAGTGGCACAGAGAAATTCATCAATGCATCTTTGCAAATAGCACTAGAAGCTCAGAAGCATAGCGACATCGGGCAAAGGTAGTTAGCATACTAATGTAGCTGAGAAGCTTACTGCTAACATGCTAGCCAGCTGGCAACATAACAGTGAGTTCCGACAACTTTAACTAGCTAAATAGGTAATGTGACAAGTTCACACAGTTTATTCATGAGACCTACTTATATATTCTATTATTGTCACATAATTGTCTACAACACCTTCTTGTGGGAACACCATGCTAGTGTTTCAATATCCTTTTAAAAAAGACAGACTCATCTAAATCAAAATTCTTTAAGATTTTAGATTCTTTCCTTGGATCAATAAATATTGTGACCATGTTTTGATGTCAAATGAAATAAAAAGAATAAATTATAAAGGCTTGGTCAGACCACAGCATCATAGGCTGCAAAGGTAACGTACGGAGGGTTTCTGCTTTGCATTCCCAGCTGTGCCCTGAACTAGAACACAGCTCATAAAATATAATTTGTCCACAAGTCTGCATGAACTGTGTGAGCTAAAATCTTGGCATTGTGTAATAGAGAGAATATATGCTACATATAAGAAAATAAAAATGTTTTTTGTCCATTTTTGTCTAGTCAAAAATGCCACACTTCGGTAAAATGTCTGTATAATTTGATAATATTGCATTGATGTTTAATATGCCACATCTTAATATTTAGTACGTTTGCTAAACAAAATAATATTTCTCTGTCTTCTGTTTTCTCACAGTGACTTGTATGACTTCTACCACTATTTCTACATGCTGACCAACATCCTGTTCTACGTCAGCTCAGCCATAAATCCGATCCTCTACAACCTGGTGTCAGCCACCTACCGCCAGATCTTCTTCTCCACACTGCGCTACTTCTGCATGCCGTGCCGACGTACGCCCAGGAGGCACCCCCACCCCCTGACCCGCCACTCTATTAGCATCTCCAGCAACCACACCCTCTCCACCAACATCATCAAAGAGACGGCGTACTGATTGGACTGCATTACACTTTCTCATACTAAGAATCCATCCGCTGCCATTTTGTGGTTACTGGTCCAACTTCATCAAGGAAATTCTGGTACCGAGTTGGCAAGGCTAACAGATCCACTACTTGGACACATCGTCATTGTCATGTAGGGTCAGGTGTCCCGGTTCAAGCTGAGTGTCCTGACAAATATTTGTAAAACACAGTTTTCAACATGATGGATATGATGGATCATATTATAGTTGTTTTCAGTGCTTACATAGACATTTATCATGTCCTATACCACTCATTAGACATATTACCTAACCGATATAAAAATTTAAATGGTGCGGCACGCGTCTGACTTCAACACTGATTGGTTTGCATGTGTGTCAATCAATCAATGTGGCGTTGTCAAGGCAGTTGCTAGCCTATGAGTCATGGTGGTTCTTTCTGACAGAACTTGTCAGTATGCTAACAGTTAGCTGTCTTGTCATGCTGATGAGATCAGCAATTGGTCTTTTTCTAAAGAGGTCCAGGAGGCTTACTTACTTAACTTCCTTCATACATCCATGGCAACCATGGTGTTAAAAGTTGCGGTCAGGAGGTGTGCTAAGAGCTGGAATAAATGTCCCCCATCCTGATGAATACGCCTATGGTGCGTACATAAATGCATACATGTGTCCATGCATGAAGGTGCAGCGCACTTAATGGTCCTGGTTTTGGGGGTTGGGGGGGTCATCCTTGCCAGGTGCCCAGTCTGAGACCACTGTGATTTCATTTCAGATGCACATTTTATCACAAATTATTGGGTCTTTTATTGTTACAGTTATTGTATATAGTTATTGTATCTTTGTTCAGCATAACATGAGTTTGTGAAATGAAAGAGAAAAAAAATAAAATAAAATATGACAATGCAAAAATGAAAAACAGGAAGGAAAATAGATAATGGATATGTGAATGTTTTATACAGTATGTTACATGTTTATATTGGACCAATCATCTACACTTGCTTGGTGCTATACAGTATAAATGACTGGTGTTTCAGTGTTTTAAAGTATCAATGAATAGCTTCTGGCAATACTTGCACCTCAACAAATTCTCATGTCAGCCTCCTTTGTGCTATTTTGGATGAGCATCTGTGGATAATCCCTCCCTTGATGTTAGAAAAAAAGGATCCAAAGAGTAGGTATTTCTCTGTCATAGATCTGAGTTGCACTGAGTTGCACTGTGTGGGACGAATCTCTTGCATCACTGCCACTTGCCTGTCTTGTTTTGATTTTTTTTACAACTGCTTTTTGACAAAATGTTAGTGGGTGTGTCCAGATAATGTTGTATCTTAATGTTCCAAGACAATTTGTCAAAATGGAGGGGGTTCTTGTCACACTGCTTAGTAGAGGAAGACATTATGATTACCTCTGGTAATAGCCTGCATTCATAAACGCCTTTAAAAGATGTAATGTAAGAGCAGAAGTGGCTGTAATTGATTATTAGTAGAGCTGTGACCATGTGGAGCAAATAACACATGGTAGAAATTAATTAATGTACTGACACAAGCATGCTTACCCTGAACATAATATTTGTCCTGTGTGGGCAGAGGAAGCAGCACTTAGACAGACACAGTGCCCCCACTCTAATGCTTTCCCACCAGCCGCTGCTTGAGAAATCAGAGATCTGGGGACTTTTCGATGAAGAGGAAGACGAGGATGCGAAACAAATCTTCAGCTAAAGCGCACAAAGATTGCTACGGAGGATTATAGAAATGCAATTGCCATCATATATCCATGTGCCAGCAGCAGCATTTTAAAAGGCCATTTTGACCTGAAGTGCATTTCCTATTAGCCTCCTGCAAATTATTATTAGCCCAGTGCACCATCCCAGTAACCCTAGGAATTACATCCGATTCCACACATCATGATTTATGTTCAGTGCCACTGCAGCAAGTATTGTGCCCTTGATTTAGCGAGGCAGAAAGTGAGGGTGGGGAAGTCAAGGAGGCCACAGACTTGCAGTTTATGTTTGCTGTTTTTATTAACTGTAACCACGTCGTGTCATCAAGGTTGCCTTTATTTTCCAATAACAATGGTCTTTCCCCAACCTCAATCATACCTTCACCAAGTGTTTTACACACTGGTTCATGCATCCAAGTGCGCCTGAGGGCAAAAGTGTTTATAGTTGCTCTAAACAGCAACACTCAAACAAGGATAGCTGCGTAAACCTCAGGTTGAATATCTGGCCTATTGCCACATGATGTGGGCTTAATTTTCAGACTGTGAGTTACAGAAAAATACAGAAAGATGAAGGAGGTTTCAGAGATGGAGTTTCAGACATCATCTCAGCTGAAGCATACTGTCACCTTAACCATAAACATACCTCAGCCAGAGTTTATTTGCAATAATCATGATCTATCCATCACCTTAACCATACCGTCGTTCCTACAAACAGACATTGCATGAAGCAAGAATGTAATCAGAGGTTTTGCAGAAACGTCCAATATTGAAGTTTTTGTTTTGCAATAGATTTATCTGCACATCTGCATCTGTATCTTGCACTACTTAGTGTTGCTGTATTCTATTAACGTGCCCACCCTGTTACTGTTATGGACTGTACTGATTACAAACTTTAGACACTGTATAAGCAAATTGTAAGAAGTACCTGACTTTACACACAAAATCCCACTGAGAACAGGCAATATACTTATTTACTTACTGCATGATCTAATGTTACGGCAAGCTAAACTGAATCTTGTCAGTATGGTTGGGTCTCAGACCTTTGGACCCCACTGCATATCAAACATTAAAACAGGCCAGCTGTTTTACATGTTTCATCATAATCCTATTAGTGAAATCGGCCAAGCTTTTCTCTGTAAGGAGTGACGTGTTGCTTGTGTTGTCAGTATCCTGAAGCACCCGTGTGTAGAGTGTGAGCGTAATGATTTCTCCACACATGCACTTGTATATTCCCCACAGAGTTCAAGTAATTTACAATTTATGTTACTTGTTAATGTGCTTCTGCACAAGTCACTTATATTTCCTGCTTTAAAGAGATCAATGAATCAACAGCACTTGACCATTTTATTCACGGTCATTTTCAGCTGGTGGTGAGAGAACTCAGACTGTCACTCTCACTGATTTCAATTTGCCACCAAAGTGGCCAACTACAGTGATGAGGATTCAGGGGATCACCAGTTATACTGAGTTATTACAGTTCAACCTGAGGGGAACATGGAGGTCTCTATAGTTTTTCATAGCAATTCATGCAGTGGTTGTTGAGATATTTCAGTCTGCACCAAAGTGGTGGATGAACCAACAGATGGACACAGAGCCATGCTGCATGAATGATGATAAAATAAAATAAAATACTTGCATCATAATACTACAGTTGTGCAAAAAGATAAGCAACAGTTACACATCTATGTATTCAGCATTTACCACCTTAAAGTGGCAATGAGATAACACAAGGGTGATGAAAAGTATTGCATTATTTATATGTTTGCAGTCTTAGGAACCCTGTGTCTGTATTTAACTGGCGAATTATGAGTCGACTTTTATTATGAAGTAGTCACAGAAAGAGAAAAGTGTTTGTTAGTCTACAAATCAAGACAACAGTCATTTTTGGCATATTTCTGACAGAAGATCAATTTGAAATATTGCAGACACTAGTGGAAGAAAGAGCAGCCATAGTGAGCTGGCTGCATACATCCCACTTCACAGCAATTTGACCAACTCCTCTCACTGTGTTCTGCTGTGCAGCATGAAATCAGATCACAGCTGCTCACAGATTGATGGAAAAAGGTTATTTGCAGACATTATTAAATCGACAATAGTTGTGTTTTGGCACCACAATTCTGTGACCTGTAGTATTAAACCGCATAAGCTGTTACTACCAGTAACCTCAACTGTTGCCAAATCAACCAGGAGTGAAATTTAATCAATTAGAATAAACCTACAATGTTCCCCAGCGCTTTTGTTACACTCTAATAAATATATGACACTCCCGCCATCTTCTCAGTGCATATCACAGCAGTAAATTGCCAAAAAAATGGTTATTTTCAATATAGTGTACATAGTTATTATTGGTGAAAGTTATTTGCTGAGCTTTGTATTGGTGGATATGGCTCTGTGTTCCTGTACAGTACCTGTGTTGTTGTTGAATCTGTATATACTGTATGCTCTATTAAAACTTCATTCGGGCCAAACATCAGATTCCCTTTCCCACAGGTTCACCAGACAGCCATATTGAATGGAGTACATGGGGAAAAAAAGTATATCTGGGGGGGGGGGGTCTACGGGTGGGCTGGGGTGGAGATAAGCCTTGCCCACCCAGAGGAATCATCTGCCCTGCTAATCATATGAGGACTAGACATCGTTCTATCCTCGGCAGATCTATCCTTCATCATACAGGCACTGCTGCCTGACCTTGTGCATTCTATTCTGTACAGTTCTGTAGCCTACTGAAGATCCAAACCAAAATTTGCTCTCAAGTTTTCCTCTCTGGATCATCATACAAATGCTCATCATAAAATCTAGATTTTACAGTTTAATTATTTTTTTCTTTTCCACGGGGCGTCCGGACATGATATCTTAGTAACACCTCTGCTGTATATCCCTTTAAATGTACAAACTATTCAGACTGTACTCTCGACTTTGCAGTACAGACCTGCACATGGATGTGTATAACTTGAATGTGTCTTAAGCTACATCCACGCTACTACATTTTAGTTTTAAAACACATCTCTTTTGTCACATTTACTCCTGGTGTCCACACTACTCCGGAGTTTTCGAGCGCCTTCAAAACACTTTTATATTGAAAAGTCTGTGGTTGAGTGGCAGTCTGGACTGGAAGAAACAGAGACCTTTGGAAACAATAACGTAAACACCCTGATTGAGTCTTTTCAGTCACAAATACCAGTGATGAATGCAACATGGTTGACATATTACAAGCATTGCTGACTTCGCTGTCTTTGCTAGCAGCGGTTGTTCCTTGTTCATATTATTTTCTGCAACTAATCAACTGCAGAGAATACAATCTGCTTCCTGTTTACACCTACACACACATACCCAGTGTGTGTGACTGGTCACCTAATATGTGTTTTCAGGTATGTTAGTTATGGAGCTAAATAGTCGTCTAGACGGCGATCGACTTTGTTTTGAAGCTCTGTTTTAAAATAAAAATGTAGTGGTGTGGACGTAGCCTTAACCCAGTGTTCATTGTATTTAAATAAAAGGAATATTTTGCTCATTTTAGTTGATGATTCAGATCAGCCATGTTTAACTGTATATCACAGAATGTTATTTCATTATAAAAAGAAATAATAAAAGAATTAAGATACATTATAAACTGTTGTACTGACTTTGTTGTTTACAGTGTTTACTTTGTCTCTCGTCTTATTCCTGCCCCACAGTCTCTCTCACAGGTTTGTAAGGCTATACAAAGAGAAGTGTACACCTACACACAAATGCACATGCACGTATGCATGCACACACACACACACACACACACACACACACACACACACACTACTTAGCAGAACAGTGTATGACCTTTTCTAAAGTGCACTCATGACAATTAATAGCTGGCTTAAAAAAAAGATTACTCACAAAGCACATGCATCTCAGCACAGAGGGTTGTTGTCTTATCAAACAAACCATATGTCTTACTAAAGATGATGCCTGAGGAGTAACATGAGATATTACCATGCTGTGTCCCCTGTGAAGTAGGAACTCGAACACCATGGCAAAGCGTTGGCGGCTGTTTGGTCAGACACTCAGAA